CAAAACCACCAGTCCCTTCATGGTGTATGTGACAAAGCTGGAGCAGCTTGTGGTGGGACAGGCACATGAAGGCAAGATGGCCCCTTCTGAGCTGGTTTGGGTCCAAATCCTGTGTCCTCTCCACCTTTCTGTTCCTCTTGATCCCTGAGTCACTAGGATGTGTAGTCTGAGGAGACAGCAGTTCTGCTTGCCTTTCCCCTTTCCTCCCAGCTCACCCTCTGCCCCAACTCAACTCCAGTTGATCCCAGGCCCACCCTGTCCCCTAGGGGTTTCCAGAAGCTGGCTCAAAGCAAAGGGCCAAAGTAATGCCCAAGTGTCCTTCCTGGAAGAGAGGGGTCAGCAGATCCAGAACATGGCACTCCCGGGTTTCCCACAGGCTCCCTAACTGGGGACCAGCTGCTCTTTGCCTAGGGACAACTCGAAGTCAAACCAAAGCAGCCCTCTGGGGACATTCCTCCCCTTGGGAGGTGGTATTTCAGAGCAGATGTGAATTTCCCAGGAGGGGCAGGGGGGGGCGCTAAGTGTAAACCCCCAGCATCCTGCCCACCCCCTTCATTCCCCAAGTTCAGGCTGTGAACAGGGAAATAGGAAGGAGTTAAGAGACCAGAGGCCATTGGCCCAGGAAACCGGTGGGACTGCGTAGCGTTGAAATCCCCTGAGTCCTGGACCAGAGGGAACAGCCAAACGGCCCACCCAAGAGGCAGCCTCTGTTCTCTCTTGGGATCTGCCCCTGCCTGGATTGCCGGGTGATGGATGAACAGAATTAACGCCTCAGGCCGCGCTGGGAAAATCTCAGTGACCGGATTCAGGGTTTCCGGAAAGGCTGGGGGCCGGGGGGGGGGGGTCCCTTCCCAACCCGGCCGAGCTGCCTGAGCATTTTTGGTAATGTTTGGGTTGGTGCGCGCTGCCGGATGCCCCGCCTTCCCTCGGCCTCCTCTGGGCAGGACCTTGGGGACCTGGGCTGCTGTGGCGCCTTCCCACCCCGGCAGCATCTGAAGAGGGTGGTGGCCCTGGGTACTGGGGACTGAGCTAGGGGCAGGTGGGATGTCCCACTAGGAGACCCCTAGGTTCAGAAGGGACAAGAGTGCCAGACTGTGGTCTAAGGATTCGGTAGGGCTGGGGGCTAGGATGGAAGGGCCATGACCCCTTTTCAGCCAGCATACCCATATCACCCACCCACTGCTGCTACCATTGGATTTAAGGGTTCTTAGTCTCCAGGAAGAGTCCCGATTCGTCCACATCCACTTCTCCTCTTCCCTCCGTTCCCCAGCCAGGAAGGGGGCGAGAGAAGAGCTCGAAACTCCCAGAGGAGTCCTGGAATGCTGGGAGCCTGGGAACAGATCCTGCAGTCTCTGGGAAAGCCAGGCGTTGGGACTCCCAACCAGCCCCCTCCCCATGATGAGCCACCGGATGCTGCAGACCCCAGCTCCCCAACTGCCGGTTTTGTGCCTGTGGAAGTCCCCACCTCAGCTCCAGCCGGTCGCAACCCCAGGGTTCAGTAGGCCAGCTGTGACGGCGATGCCCTTCCCCCACCCTGTTCCAACATAATCCTCCCCTTTGTGTCACCCACCCCCTCCCCTGGCTCCCCTTCTCCAGACCCCTGCACAATGGGGCCTTTGCAGTCTCCAGGGTGGAGATGAACTCACGGCTTTTCCAAGTTTAAAAATAGCTCCTCCCATCCCCCCAGAAAGCCACCATCCGTCGGCCCAGAGAGTTACCCTCCCCCTCTCCCATGGTGTTGCTGGAGTGCACCTCAATCCAGCCTGCACCCTCTTCCTCCTGCCCTGGGTCAGGTGCAAAGGACATGAGTGGGACTCCATGTCCGGCCAGAGCTGAGACAGCTTCCCCCCATTCAATTTCTTCCCCTCCATCTTCCACCCACCCCCAAGTATCCTGTTTCCTGGCTGGATGATGTTCTCTGCACTGACCCCCACCTTTCCTCCACCCTGCTTTTCACTCTGCAGTCTTCTCCCAAAACAGATGCCCCCACTCTGGAAACAACCTCCTGCCCCCCCTCCTGGATCCTGTTTTCTGGCCAAGACAGGGGGTTCCCCAGCCTCTACAAATGCCAAGATTATTGCCTACCCCCCCCCATGTTCTATTACAGCTGCAAGCATGTCTTTATCAGTTTCCTTCCTCTGTCCAGCCCACCCTTCCCAGAAAGAGGGGGGTGGTATCCTTGTCTTTTTATCTCTACTGTTCCTCACTTTTCCTTAACAAAGAAGGGAAAGCCCCACCCACGCAGAAGCTTGAAGCTAAGGGATAGAATTAGGACCACCACCCCATCCAGCTTCAGTGTATCTGCCTATGGTCTCCTGGAGAGAGACCCAGAGGCCATTCACCATGGGGCCTCTTCACCTGGAAGGAGCCCTAGTCTACCCTGGAAATGGAGCAAGGCAGCAATCCTACCTCTAATCTACCCATTCTACCTTCCTCTGACAAAAGGAAGTAAAGAATTAGGACCTTGGCTGAAGAGATGGCTCTGTTGTTAAGAGCACTGACTGCTCTTGCAGAGGACCTGGGTTCAGTTCTCAGCACCAACATGGCATCTAACAGTCTGTAACTTCAGTTCCAGGGGATCTGACTTCCTTTTATGATGCCTTTGGGCATTGTACACATGGGTTCACTTACATACATGCAGGTAAAACACACACACACACACACATACATAAAAATTAAAAAAAAGAAAAGAAAAGAAAAGAAAAGAATTCTGGACATGGTGGTACATGCCTTTAATCCTAGCACTCAGGAGGCAGAGGCAGGCAGATCTCTGAGATGGAGGACAGTCTGGTCCACATAGTGAGTTCCAGGCCAGCTGGGAGTCCAGGGAGACTCTGTCTCAAAAGACTAAAAATTAAAAAAAAAATTACGACCTTATCTCCAGGGGCCTTTTCTTGCCAAGACTTATTTACGTCTGGTTCTATTCTCCCAGGCCAGGTGCAAACATATGGACCAGGTAGAAGGCTCATCTCTTCTCAGTCTCTCTCCATTGGCCTCTGTCTTCTAGTCTCAATCCTGGCTTGCTAGAATTATGGATGACATGGAATCTCTGTTTTCTAGTGTCTTAGAGGAGCTGAGGACTCTACCCCCAACTATGGCCTGTTCTGTCTTGGTTCATAGCCCTCTGAGTCCTCTCCAAGGTCCTGACTCATCTTTGTTTTAGAATCCCCAAAGTGCCTCTTTCATGAAACCATCCCTAAACTGTGTGTCCCCTGACTCTCCCACCCAGCCTAGCAGCCTGATGGCACTGGCTTCTTCAAGGGCAGTCTTTGTGTTTGTTTGCTGGGCCATCCCCACAGAGGAAGGGCTATCACCCCTAGCTTTAATCTGATTTCTCTTTTACTGCAGAAAAGACTTCTCCAACCCCCACCTGGCTTTGTCTCCTAAGAGAAGAATTCAGAACTGACTGTCCTTGATGGTTAGCTGGCTTTGTTTTCAGGCCGCCAGAGAAGAACATGCTTAGTTAATAGTGTTAAGTGAAGATGAGGGGGTGGGGCAGGGGAGGCTACTCCATGGCCTGGCTCTTGGCCTCCCTGGCCAAACAGTATCCTTCAGCCATTTCTGTTCCTGTGCTGCAGATAAACACCTTCCTATTTTGCTCTGGGCCAGGGGCCAGTGGCCAGTGTCCATCACTTCACTCCAGGGGGCAGAGAAGGCAGGACCCTCCTCCTACTCTCTGCCCTCAAGGCCCTAGGGCCTGTGATGGGGCAGGCTTGGCATGGCCTCTGGATGAAGACTAATGGACAGGAAGGAGGGGTCAACAAGACTCTGAAAGATGAAGCTGATGTGGTTTGCTAGTCATCTCTGCGTCAGAACAGCATCCAGAGCAGCAGTCATCAGAACAGCACCCAGAGCATTCTCTCAGGTCACCTGGCCATCTCTGGTGTTTGCGGCCTCAGCCTCCTTTCTCAGGCAGGCAGCAGAAAGGCTGCTCCCTGTATGTGACAGACACCCTGCTTTCTTCCCAAATCCAGACACCTCTGACCCTCCCTGGTCAAAGAGTCTCAAGCAGATGTGGACCCTTTCCTGAAGCCCAGATGCTGGGGTCTTTTTGAGTCTTAATTCTAGAGTCTAGAAGATCCAGGAAGAAGTTGGGATTTGGGGAAAAGAGTAGCTGGCCGGGCTTCCCCAGATACAGCTGCCCCTTGCAGATCTGAACCGCAGTCAGCAGGGCTGAGAGAGTTGAGGAGTGGGTAGAGCGGCTTTAAGCATCAAGAAGAGCAACAGGTTTCTGGGGGTCAGTTGGGGACCCCACACCCATTAACAATTCCCTGTCTTCATTGAAGTGAGGGGAAACCGAGTCCGAGGCTAGGCAGAAGGATTGAAGAAGTAGGAACAGAATTATGCCGGCCTGGGTGTGGACAAGCTGCCTCACCTTGTTACTTGTCAATTCATCCTCCTTTCTTCTGCTCCTATCCAAAGAAGGACTTGCAGGAGCTTGGGTATGAAAAGAGCCCAGACGGCACCATTTCCAATCTCCCTACCCTTCTTGCAGGCACCTCTGGGTCTGTGGGACCTGGCACAGTCCTTCCCCCCAAGCCTGCCAGGACAGCGAGACTCTGGGGCAGGGCCAAGCCGGCAGCAGCCGCAGAGGCGACCAAGGCCAGTTCCTCTCTGGCAGCCTGAATGGGAGGCCCCCATCAGGACCGACTTGCTCTGCTGCGCCTCTGCCAGCGCCCCCCAACCCCCCCGGGGGGTACACCTACTGGTAGGGGCAGAACACGAGGGAACGCAGCTACTGCATCCAGGACGCCTTGGCCAGGCGGGCCCAAGACACCTGTCACTGCTCCCTCAACCTTCCCAAGCCAGGGTCCTGTGGAGCTGGCGCTGGCCTACGTCGGCCAGGATCCGGGATCCCGGCGCAGCTCCGAGCCCTTGCGCCGGTTCCCGCCCCCTAGGGCGCAGGGCGGGGGCGGGGGGCTGCGCAGGGCGGGGCGGGGCGGCGGCGCCGGGGTCCCCTCCCCCGCCCCCCTGACGTCAGCCCCCGGCAGCCACGGTCGCCTCACTTGGCTCTAGCCCTCCGGCCGGGAAGCATGAGACTGCCCAGGCTCGTCTGCGCTTTGCTGGCTGCCTGCTGCTGCTGTCCCCACGCCACGGGTGAGTGAGTTCTTGCGGGGGTAGGGGGGACCTGCATCCCACCGGCCCGGGTGTAGGGAGTTGGGGAGAGTCTTCGACGGAGCGCGCGGGGTAGACCCGAGCTGGCAGCGCGGCTGAGCCCGGGCTCTGCACCCTAGCGTGCGTTCGTCCTTGCTGGAGTCCTCGACTACCAGGCACGCGTGCAACTCTTCTTTGCAGCCAGTTTGCAGCCTGGATTCTAGAGTATCCCGGGAGCGGGTTCGGTCGGGCCGAGAGGCTGCTGTGGCTAGCTGGAGTGGAGTCGAGCGTCTAGGGGTGCTGGGGTAGTACTCCCGCAGGTGCTCACTCTGGGTGCCCATCCACAGCAGTCTGGGCGGGGAGGCGCGGCTGGGGCACATCCGCAGCCCTTGGATCCCGCGCCTGCCTGTTGCTGGAAAAGGCAGTTTCCCTTGCTGGAGGGGTACACCGACCCCTCCCCCTCCACCCGGGCCTCGCGCCAGACTGGAGGTGAACGAGGGAGGAGGGACGGCGGCTCCCGCTCAGGCTGGGCGTTGACAGGGACTGCGGGCGGTGTGACTCCTCTCTCGCCTCCCGGGGTGACCGGATCACAGGGGACAAACGAGGGATGGAGGAGTTCTGCTGTGGAAATGGTTTATATTAGGGACCTCAGTCAGGTGGGAAGAGCGGCTTTGGAACCTCGGAGGTTTCCTTTGGAACCGCCTAGTAGCTGTACACACTTGAGTTGGTGCTGCCCTTGCACCGGCCCATGGCGGTGTCGCGTGTTACTCTTGGCTCCTCACTCTGTCCACTGGTCGGGCTAGGGAAGAGGAGGATTGGGCATACTTCGCTGGCCTCCTGCCCATTGCCAGCCGCGTCCCTGGGGTGCTTCAGTCTACTGCCTCGCAGGCTGACCTTATTTTGGGGGAAAGGGTTAAGCATAGCTGCAGCTGCAACTTTAGCCCCACCCTGCCCTGCTCTTCTGACTCCCAGGAACTGGTCAGGGAATCCATGACTTCTGCTCTGGAAGACCACTCTATCTGCCCTCTGGGTCTGGGAGCCATAAAACCCAGGCATCCCAGAATCCAGTCAGATGGTGTCCAGTGACATCACCTCCTCATGGGCTGGCAGTATACTGGCACCACTGATGTCACCCCTGCCTACTGCCTGGTCCTTGCCTTGACCCTTGCAGGGAGACGCTGACCCCTCTATATTTACTAGACTCCCAGGGTGGGGCCTCAGATAGTTTGTGAAATGTTCCTTGTTATATGAATGGGAATTTCTGGCCAGAGTTGGCCTACTGGGTCTCCTGGAGGATTTAGGGAGGTGATTTGAGGGTCAGAGGGTAGAGTAATGACGTCTTCCCTTTGGGGTGGGGACACAAAGGGGCCTGTGTGCCCCAGCCTGGCACATGCCTTGCATTCCCACAGTCTGAGCTCACTGGCAGAGCAGAGCAGGGGAAGGGGCCCCAGGAGCAAAAGGGCCTTCCTTTTGGCCCAGGGCCCATGTTGCCCTTCTCTGCCAGCCTCATCCAGGAGGTACCCAGTTGTTCAGTCTGTATTCCAAGTTCAGGGAGGTACTGCACTGAGAGAGGGCTGGCCCAGGGTGGGGTCTAGGCAGGGTGAAGTTGAAGGTTAGGAGAGGACAGGGCCTTCTTCAGATCCCCTAAAATGAAAGAACAGCTGCAGTGGGCCATGGGAGGGGAGGACCAGGACAGAGAGCAGCTGGAGCTGACACAGCTTCCTGAGCCGGCCTCTTCCCTTTCTCCAGGTGTGCCCCAAAACACAGAGGTGCCTGCAGTGGAGCTGGTGGAAGCAGAAGTAGGCAACACAGCCCTTCTGAAGTGTGGCCCCTCAGACTCCCCGGGGAACTTCAGCCATGTGGACTGGTTTTTTGTAAGTGTCTGTGGGGTATGGAGGGTAGTCATAGGTGGGAAGCTGTCTCCCAGGTAGCTCAGGACCTCTATCTCTGCCCCTTGCTCACAGTTCCACAAAGAGAGGGAGGTACTCATATTCCGAGTGCGCCACGGCCAGGGCCAGAGTGAACCTGGGGAGTACCAGCACCGCCTCAGCCTCCAGGGACCAGAGGCAACTCTAGCCTTGAGTCAAGTCACCCCTCATGATGAGCACATCTTCGTGTGTAAGAGCAAGAGACCCCGGCTCCAGGACTACCATATGGAGCTCAGAGTCTACAGTGAGTACCCCCTCATTCCTGCCCTCAGGGCAGCAGGGACCCTGCAAGGAAGGGTTCCCAAACCTCTGCTCATTTCCCTTCCATCGCAGAAGCTCCAGAAGAGCCAACCATTCAGGCCAATGCTGTGGGCATCCATGTGGACAGGCAGGAGCTTAGGGAGGTGAGATATGATAGGGCAAGTGGTGGCAAATGGAGGCAAAGCTGTGGCAGAGAGGGGTTGTCAGAGGCAAGAGACTTGTATCCTGTCCTCCTTAGGTTGCTACCTGTGTGGGGAGAAACGGGTACCCCATTCCTCAAGTCATCTGGTACAAGAATGGCCGGCCCTTGCGAGAGGAGGAGAACCGTGAGTAGTCACTTCCTGCTGTAGCTCCACATGTGGGAACCACTTTGCACGTTCTTTCAGCAGTTACTGAAACAAATCTGTACAGGCGATGTTTGAAAATGGTTTCATAAAAATTTAGAAAAGCTAGACATGCTTCCAGACCCCTTCTCCCAACATTTCTTTTGCTGTCATTGGTATTTTCTTTCATTCCTATTTCTGTGCCTTTATCACATGAATAAATGCCTGTAGAGGCATAGAGATTTGTGGGCATGGTGTTTGTTTTGAGACAGACTCATGTAAGACAAGCTGCCCTTGAGCTGCTGCTGCTCCTGCCTCCAGCTCCCAGATGCTGGGATTACACACATGCAGCACCACTCCTGGCTCAAGGCTTATGTTTTCTTATTGTCTTAACTAGGGGTGATTCTGAATATATGCCTTCTCTAGAGATACTTGGCAGTGTCTGGGTTGTGATAGTCGTCACAAATACAGGGGCTGCTGCTGGCACCTAGTGGGTAGAGGTCAAGGATACAGTTCAACACCCTATAATGCACAGGATGGCCCTACCACAAAGAATTAATTCTGGCTCAAAACATCAATAGTGCTGAGCTTGAGAAACTCTGACCTTAGTGGTCATGCCCAGTGTATATCCTTAGACAGTTTCCTCTGTGTAGTCTTTCCAGGTGAGTCTGCTCAGATCTATCTACTTGTTTTGCCCCCTAAGTCCAACTTTCCAGATTGAATACGATATAGTTGAATTAACCATCCTCTTGTTAATACCTTAAATGTCTCAAGTGTTTCTCATTTTCTAGTTTGAGTAATTTTGTGCTAGGGATTGAAGCTAGGGTCTTACACACGCTAAGAACACGTTCACCACAAAGCTATACCCCCCAGCTCTTTTATTTTCCTTCGCCCCTGTGGTTTTACCGGCACACATCCTTGTATACCTTGTATATGTGCTGGAGTGTAAATATTTTCTAGCATGGATACTGAGCAATAAAAGTGCTGGGTTGAAGCTGGGTGTGGTGGCACACTCTTTTAATCCCAGCATTTGGAGGCAGAGGCAGGTGGATCTTTGTTAAGTTCAAGGCCAGCTGAAACTACATAGAGATTGTCTTAAAAAGAAAAATAAAACTAAGGGTCAGTCACCAGTTTGCATTTGATCTTGGGCCTCTACAGGAGTAGGGGTAAGGCTGGAAGAGGGCCTGTGGTCAATCCTTGCTCCTGTCCTTTCTGTTCAGGTGTTCATATTCAGTCAAAGCAGATTGTGGAGTCCAGCGGTTTGTACACCTTGCAGAGTGTTCTCAATGCGCAATTAGTTAAGGAAGACAAAGATGCCCAGTTTTACTGTGAACTCAATTACCGGCTACCCAGTGGGAACCACATGAAGGAATCTAAGGAAGTCACTGTCCCTGTATTCTGTGAGTGCTGACTTGTTCCTCTGGTTTTGGGGTGGACCTGGTGGAAATGCCTACTAACCCCTCCCCATTCAGCCTGGGGCCACTTCCTAACCGGAGAACCCTCCCCTTTGCCCACACAGACCCTGCAGAAAAAGTATGGCTGGAAATCGAGCCAGTGGGCTTGCTGAAGGAAGGGGATCATGTGGAAATCAAGTGTTTGACTGATGGTAACCCCCAACCCGACTTCACCATCTGGAAGCAGGTGCACGGGGGTACAGGCAGAGGCAAGTAGAGTGACTGGAGGGGTCACTCGCTCACCATAACCCCTTTGTGATCTCCCAGAATGCCAGTACTAGGGAGATGGAGGAGAAGACAACCAATGAAAACGGCATCCTGTCCTTGCAGCCTGCCCAGAAACAGCACAGTGGGCTCTACCAGTGTCAGAGCCTGGACTTAGAAACCATGATCACACTATCAAGTGACCCCCAGGAGCTGGTGGTGAACTGTGAGGGAACAGGGACCCAGAATGAGTCGAGGGGGGCAGGGGAGGAAGAGGGATTTGGCTCCCCCTACCCAGGCAGACACTTTTGTTGTGCCCCCAGATGTGTCTGATGTTCGAGTGAATCCAACAGCCCCTGAGGGCCAGGAAGGTGGCAGCCTCACACTGACCTGTGAAGCAGAGAGTAACCAGGACCTTGAGTTCCAGTGGCTGAGAGACAAGGTACCCAGAGGCTCATGGGGCAGTGTGCGAGAGCTTGCTCCTTCTCAGATCCTCTGACCTGCTTCTCACCCCCAGACAGGCCAGCTGCTGGGAAAGGGATCCATCCTCCACCTAAACAACTTGAAACGGGAAGGAGGGGGAGGCTATCTCTGTATGGCATCTGCCCCCAGGGTTCCCGGCTTGAACCGCACACAGCTGGTCAATGTGGGCATTGTAGGTGAGGAGGCCGTTTGTACAGTGACCAGGTCACTTAGTGACCAGGTCACTTTGAGTTGGATGCTTTTGAACTGTTGGAGACCAAAAGAGTCACCTGGTACCCTGGGAGCTGGGGGGGGAGTGGAGGTGGTCTAGCTATTTGTAGTTCCACCTTTCCCAACCCCCAAGGGCCCCCATGGATGGCAATAAAGGAGAAGAAGATGTGGGTGCAAGAGAACACAGCTGTGAATCTGTCGTGTGAGGCTTCAGGACATCCTCGGCCCACCATCTCCTGGAATATCAATGGCTCGGTGAGCAGGCCTGACCCATCTTCCCAAGCTCTTAATCCCTCCCTGTGCTTTGAGGCTAGGACCGGAGATCCTCCCACCCCATGAGATGCCTTCTTCCTCATAGGCAACTGAACGGAACCTAGATCTACAGACCATACTGAGCACCTTGAATGTCCTTGTGACCCCAGAGCTGTTGCAGACAGGTGCAGAATGCACAGCCTCCAGTCCCCTGGGCAGAAATACTACCATCATCATCCTGGAGCTGGGTGAGAGCTGCCTCCCTGCAGAGAATGGCAGGGGCACGCTCAGGCACAGGCATTAATGTGAGCTTCTGCTAACCCCCTCCCTCTGCCTCCTAGTCACCTTAACCACCCTCACACCTGACTCCAACCAAACCACTGCCCTCAGCACCTCCACGGTCAGTCCTCACGCCAGAGCCAACAGCACCTCTACCGGTAAGTCGGGCCTGGCAAAAGAACAGGGCTGTGCCAAGGTGCCTTTTCTGCCCTGTCTGTTAATAAAGGTGAGTAGCAAGCCCATCTGTCAGTGCTGGGCTGGGTGGAGCAGCAATGGCAATGTGGTAGCCAGGAGCAAGGAATGACTACAGTGTCTTTGTGTGACAGAAAAAAAGCTGCCAGAGCCAGAGAGCAAGGGTGTGGTCATCGTGGCTGTGATTGTGTGTATCCTGGTCCTGGCTGTACTGGGTGCTGCCCTGTATTTCTTCTACAAGAAGGGCAAGCTGCCATGTGGGCGCTCAGGCAAACAGGAGATGTAAGCCAGGCTCATGGCCCTTGTCCCCTCCCCATTTTCTGCTGCCCAGCTTGCTACCTCATCAGGGACCTCCCCCTACCCCCAGTGCCCACTCATCCCTTGAGAGCAGAAATTGGACCTGCTTTACTGCCCACTACCCAGTTTTCATCAACTACACCTTCTCCAATTCTCCCTTTCCAAGCTAGCCCCAGAGCACCAAGAGCCCATTTAGTATCTATCCCAAAAGGACCTCCCCTTCCATGGCCCCAAGTTGCCAACCTCTCACCTCCCTCCTCCCAGCACGATGCCCCAGTCTCGTAAGAGTGAATTTGTAGTTGAAGTTAAGTCAGATAAGCTCCCAGAAGAGATGGGCCTCCTACAGGGCAGCAACGGTGACAAGAGGGCTCCAGGAGATCAGGTAGGAGGCAGTTCCTGAGGCCAGTGCCAACGTACCTTCAGGGACTGGGGGGAACAGGGGTTAATGGTAGTTGTTCCCTGAACACTAACTCTTCCTGTCCTTCATTCTTTGTTGGAGATGGGGAACAGGCCCATCTTGCCCTCTTAACACTACTGACAGATGGCAGGGTGAGGCAAGTGGTGGAGGGACCCTGGAAAAGGGACAGTAAAACCCCACCCCTTTTCCTGACCAGTCTATGGCTCTGCCACTAGGTGTGAAGTGTGAGGCTCTCTTCAGTGTGGAGACCTAGTTGGGGGACTCTCTTCTTCCCACCATCCCTGCTGCTTCCCTCAAGGCTGCAAGTTCACCAGCTTCTGCTTCAATCCCTCCTTCTTCTTAGTCCTCACACTTTGAATTCTGCTGGCTCTCCATGTTCTGGTCACTTCTCTCTACCCATTTTTAGGGAGAGAAATACATCGATCTGAGGCATTAGCGGAATCATACTCAGCTCCTCCCCTGCCTGGAATGTCTCCAGCTCCTTGCTCACTCTTCATCCCAAACCAAAGCCCTCAGATGGACAGCAGAGAAGATCCCTGCTCCAGCTCACCTACAGACCTGTTCCAGAGGGCCAAGAGCTGAAACCAGAGTCATCTGGTGAATCTCACCTGGCCCTGGAGGCCCTGTGTCAGGGACCAGTCCTCTGTGTCTTTATAGTGATGCTTATCCCAAGAAGGGGTGTTTCTCAAGAGTGGGGAGTTATTTGCCAAATGGATTTTCTCTTTACACATCCAGTGGCTATAATAATCTGTCTCCTACCAGCAGCTAAGTGGGCTCACCCTCTGAGCTGTCCTCCTGCAGGCTGCCTTCAGTAACCTGGTTGTACCACTGATGTGAAGATGTACAGGACCTGGGCATGTGGTTATGTGTACTATTCACACTGGCTCCAAAGACAACCCTGTAGTCCAGAGGCAGCTGCAGCGCTGCTCTTGTACCTTCCTGCCAACCACCCCTTCAGTCTCTTGGGACATTTTTCCTTTGAGCAGAAGTTGGGAATTGGTAGTATTTCTTCAGACACATCACTGTAGTAAGGAAGCTGGGCACTCTTGAGTGAAGGCTACTAAGCCTGAGCTCCCTGCATTCCCTTCCCTCCTGGGGCCCTCAGTGGATCATGGGATAGGAGACAGGACAAAGAGGTCATCTACTATTCATGGGGATTAGGTTATAGCTATATTAGTACCATATTTCTACACTGTGAGCTTATGGGTCCAGATCCTAAGAGAGCTCAAATGGGAGAGTGGTACTTAGGGATAAAAACCGGCCTGGGCTGGGCACCGGGTGCAGGGTTCAGGCCTTTAATTGCAGCACATGGGAGACAGAGGCAGGTGGATGTCTGTGAATTCCAGGTCAGCTAGAGATACATAGCGAGACCCTGTCTCCAAAAACAAAAATACCCTGGCCTGCCTAGAACTTTTAGGATGTTGTGTATGGATCTGTGATTGTGTGTGTGTGTGTGTGTGTGTGTGTGTACACATACACATATATATATATATGTGGTTTTGTTTGTAAATATGCAAATTATTTCCTTTTATATATGTGTGTTAGAAAAATAAAGCTTAATTGTCCCAAAGGTCTTATGCCAAGTCTCCATTCACCAGACCTGGAGCCTCTGGAACTGTCTCCCAAGAACCCACAGGTTTCTAGAGAGGATAGTCCCTTAACAGCTAGAGCTTGCAGGGCTGGGCATGCTGCTAAAATGCTGACCAATGGCTGTGTCCCCTTCCTGTGTATCCCTGTCACTTGGCACTGCTCCAAGGCAGTGACAGCAGGACACACTGCTTTCAGACCTGCAGCTGCCCTGTGTATTGATCCCAAGCCCCAATGAGCCAGAACTCAAGTGTGCTACAACAAAAGAAATTTTATTTAAAAATATTTTTTTACAGACACGGGTGCTTGAAAAAAGCTCTTTAGTTAATTGTATGGAAATGAAAAAATTAATAAATAACATTAGTATAACAGACCTCTAAACATTAATACATTGGCAAAACAAGATGGACTTAAAATGAAAATGAATCTTAAAGCTCTGCTATTCTCTGCAAGAATATTTACCTTCTGTTTTTTCTTACTCTTTACATGTGAGAATGATTAAATACTGCTAATATAAACTTTTTATATTAATGACACATTTTTAAAATAGTCCACGAAAATCTCATCTAAGTGTCTGTTTTCTTAACACTGATATACAAATTGGGACTCTTTATTCTGGGGAAAACATCAAATTCTCCCTAGCCCCACCCAGGCCAAGAATTTTAAAATCTTTTTCTATCTCCCAACTCTTGTTGGCTATGGGGGTGGGGGGTGAGGGTGGGTGAGAAAACTTGTTGTTGAGACCCTTGATGATGTGAATGATAAACATCAGGTCTGTTCCATGGCCCTTCCCTGGGGACATGAGACCCTGTAGAGGGCACCGGCCACTTAATGCTTTAAGTATGAAGCCTTCAAATAAAAGGAAAGTCAAGTCTGAGGAGAGGCAGGAGGTTGAGGCTGGCTCAGGATCCAGCAAAAAGAAAAGACAACAAATGAAGCATCTCCCCTTCTCAGGAGACTCCACCCTACATCTCTCCATGAAGCAGGGAGGTGGGTGATTTAGAACAGAGTGGTTACTTGAAAGTTGTGGAACACTCTAGCTGCCCACTGGAACCAAGCAAATGACACTAGGGTAAAATGCTCTTTTCCAATGAAGCCTCATGGCAGGGAAAGGGGACTACGGGCACCTATGTGCCACCTCTCCAAGTACAGATACTCTTTCTGTCCCCAAGACTCTAGGGCTAAGGATATTCAAGGTAGGGAAGCTCAGACTGGTATTTCCATATTAAGTCCTAAAATGCAGCCTGGGATACAGTGCTGCCTTAGAAAGGCACAAAACATTTGGCGCTTTTTTTTTTCTCTTTTTTTTTTTTTTTTTCAGTGAGCTAAAAATTGTTTTGTTTTGAATAAAGGAAAAAGATATATAAGGTTAAAAATCCCAAATCACCACAGCCAGAAAGCAGATGTAGGAGGTACCTCACAGCTGCTGTGCCCTGCATGTGTCAGCAGAGGTTGGACTTCTTCCCACTTGAGGGTGCTGAGGTCAGGAGGCAGCTCCTCTCATGGATACTGCAGCAGGCTCACTTGCCCATGGAGCAGGGGACAGGCCCTAAGAAAGCATGGGGCCTGGATTCCTCTTGCCACTTTAAAACAGCCAAAATATGGCCATCCTCCCCACCAGTGGGTGAAAGGAAGGGAGAAGGGGGCAACACAGGCACCAAGTACAGCCCACTGCAGGGCCTATATGAGAAGGTGGTGCGAGCCCCAGGAGTTGTGCACAGCATATATTTGATCAATCCTCACCTCTGGCCTCCATTCTGATTTTAGAGGACAAAGGAAACTTAGAGGCAATGTAGAGTTTGCATCGCACATTTTTGTGGGACTAAATCAGGACCACCGGGCCAGATGATCAGAACTCTGCTGATTTGTTTAGCTGCCAGATTAGTAGATCTGAGGTTGGCTCTCAGCCTCCTCTCTGTACAAACACAGGGTGTGATCAGTCACACTCTTCTCAAGCACTATATACTAGGGAAGAAGCCACAAGATTTCCAAGCAGCCGTTGGCCAGCAGCTGGCCCTTCCACGCCGTGCTCTTTATCAGGCACTGAATGAATGTTAAGGGCTCTCAGGTCCCTATTTCTCCATCTCTTAACTCTTGTGCTACTTTCTGCAATCAAAAAATACTGGTACTTCCCCTTGCAACCAACCCAGAGTTCCTGGGACACTGTGAAGGCACATAGCACTACCATCGGTCTGCTCCTTTATTCTGGAGCCTGGACTACCAAATGCAAAATCTGAGAACCTGCTTTTGTCTTTCATGTGTGCCTCAACGCCTATCTTTGGATTAGTAAGTGACTTCTGTGTATACTAAATGACTTGGTTAGAAGTTAGAAGCAGGGCAGGACACGCCTTAGAACTCAGGACAGGCTCTAATACGGGATACAGAAGATCAAAGATCCAAGTAAAAAGAAGTGGTTTTAAGAATCTCCAAGACTTTAATATAGGACTAAAAAGAAAGCAACCTGACAGGAAAGATACAGGTAGCCTGTCCAAAGAGCTCAGAGCAAAAACTCTACTCTTCACTGGAATTTCTGTATCCTGGCAAATATCCCAATGATTATCTATTCTGCTTCTAGCCAAGCAGTGTCTGTGGTACCTAGGAAAGCAGAGCTAAGAACATTGCTGCAGAGCTCCCTCACAGGAGGACATGCAAGAAGGGGGTGGGGCTGCAGAACCAGATCAAGAGCTCACAGGATGAACAGGTAGCCCAGCATTAAAACCAGGAGAGTCAAGCCTAAAGGTAGTGGTTACAGTGGAAGCCGTGATCTGCATTCTAATATGAAAGATCTGAAGTTGAAGGGAAGCTAAGAAATGCCACCCAGGAACAGACTAAAGGGGAATAAAGAAATCTTGCATGCCCAGACTCCTAAGGAGAAGAAAAATAAGACACAAAGAAGAAAGTTGCGAGAGCAACTTGGAGTAAGTTAAATAAATACAGGGATTTCCTCAATGACCAGACATGTGCTTTTTCCATCTCAATAGGACAGGAACTTTGCTACTAGTACAGAAGTCCTTTTTGTCTATCTCTTTTCAGAGAAGCTCCCAGCCTGCCACTGCTGCCTGTCTGCAGCACCTCTCTGTTCTTCCTGGAAGGTCCACTAGGGGATGGACCTTCAATCAATGTGCTGGCAGAGTGTATTTTCCCTTATCATTCTCTGCTTCTTGACTGCAGATACAATGTGACCAGCTGCCTCAAGCTCCTACCTCCATGACTTCCCCACAGTGATGGACTGTACCCTCAAACCAAACAGACTTAGAAGAATGCAGAGGAAGAGCCAAAAAAGACCCGTTGGCGTAAAACTACTCCACCAGCGATACGCTAAGAGAGCACCTACAATCATGCACTGACAGATGGTGCTACTGCTTTACCTGTTGCTGGAAATGAAGATGAAACAATATTCTAAATGAACAAAGGAAAAACTTTCATATAGTCTGGCCTGGCCTTCAGCTTGGAGTGTAGCCAAGGCTGACCTGGAACTCCTAACACCCCTACTTCTACCTCCCAAGTACTAGAATGTCAGGTTTGCTCTACAATTTCTAGCCTGGTGCATAGACACCCTCAGAAGGCCCATTACATGATTCCTTCAGAGGATGCCTTGGCCTGTGGTCTGTGGAATCCAAATATGGGTTTTACTCAGGCCCATTCTTTTCAGGAGTTATTAGGTTTTTATATTATTCTTAAAGAACTGTGTTCATTATAAAAAGATCATGTGAACTTGGGGACTGGGGTGCTCTTTGGGGGGGACACCCATGCAAACATGTTGTGAAATAGGAAGGACTAAATATAAAAAGTTTTCGAGCCTGGCAATATGCAAGAACCAACTCAACTTCTGTCCTCGGTTCCATGAAAGGCATGTATCCTACTAATGACACCGTCTCTTCTTTAGCTTCAGTATTTCTTGTGGTCAAAGGATCCTTAAGCATGAAAGACAAAAAAATATATATATACAACCTTGACCCTGGGTCTTCCATGCATTAAACGGCTGTGTGAATTCCTCAAGAAGGACAGCTCATGTATGGACTGAGATCAAAGTAGTATCAGCACAGCTTTATGCAGTGCTAGAGTACTTTGGTTGAATTCTGAAGCTTAGGTGCCAGGAGATGATAAGGTGTTGACATGAGGCTTTGGTACCTCTAAGCTCCCTGCTCTGGGAAGGCTTGTTGTTAGAACATGGACAGAATCCAGTCTCTGTTTCTGACTGGCTCCTAGAAGACCAAACTGAAAAGCAGGTGTTCATCCTTTTCCAACCCTTTCACCCTTTCAAAGACAGAATTAAGTTAGGTACAAAGACTGTTGAAAGACAGGGAAACAAATTCCAAATTGTTTGGAGATGGTAACAAGTCCCAGAATGGTAAAAAGGAAATCTTCCCAACAAGGGGAACTGGGGATAAAAGCAGCTCAGTAAAAGATCAAGAAGGCACTAGATTAGAAAGGAGACTGCAGGCAAAGGCTTTGCTTAAACATTTAATGCTCCATTGTGCAGCCAATATACTACGAACCCACAAGAGATTCCACTGAAATTTGTAACAAAAGTAGATAATCCATGAGGTATACACAAGAGAATCTCCCAGACATTATCAAAGCTACAGGAAGACAACAGGGGTCAAAAGGAAAGTCTTGGACCAGTGTTAACCAGGACAGCTCTATAAAGAGTTATGAATAAAAACATGCACAATCAAATGCAAAACAGAATTAAGACAGTCTGTGCGTAACTCCCAATGCCAGTAAACCACCATGTGATGGCAAGGAAGAACACAGCTAACATTTCTGACACATGACAATCACTTAAACATTTGCTAAAATTGCCAAACTGCTACAGCCAAGGGCTGGGTGTGGTGGCACACATCTTTAATTTAGGAGGCAGAGGCAGGCATATTCCAAGATTGAGACCAGTCTGGTCTATACAGTGAGTTCCAGGCCAGTTGTGACTACAAGGAGAGCCTGTCTCAAAAAAAAAAAAAAACAAAAAAAAAAACAACAACTCCCCCCAAACAACAAACCCCACAACACTGCTATAAACCAGGACAATGGCCAGTATGCTGCCATTCTGTGAAGTGACCATTCCAGAGTCTTAAAGACCAGTAGTAAGAAGGAAAGTCTGAGTAGGTCACCACCTTCTGATTTTTATGATGTGAGGTAGGAGAACATTCTGCATTAACACCATTGCTGATCATCCATAGAAAACAACTAATCTTATTAATGAAATATATAGCTGGTCCCTAGTCTGGTCTGTAAGCAAGGTGTGTTACAAAAATTAATGTGTAAGAAGTTTGCTGTTTGGACCATAAAACATGTTTTACTTTCCTACAGAGGAAATAAATAGTTTGACTATGAACAACAGTGACCCTTCTCCACCCTCCACCCTGTCCCCAATTAATAAAAAAATCTACAGATCAGCTGAATGATAACCGCACACTGAGGGCCCTACAGATGAGCCTGTGTACGAAGAGAAAGAGCGGAAAAAGGGCAGAACATGCAGCAAGGGGTTGGAGAGAGGAAGCAGGAGCTAGTGTAAGACAACGGCCAGCCACAGGTCAGGATCTTTGTTTAAATAAATATTAACAGTACAGCTGCGATGACAAGCTGCTTAGTCTACTAACTAAAAGGAGGTATACTGTAGAGCCCACAGAGTTTCTAAGACTACTCTAAGAACCTTCAGTTTAGGAGACGGGGAGACAGGTAGAAAAGTTCAGTCCTGGTAGCTGTAAGACAGTGACCCATCAATGAGGCAGGCTATGGAAATTAATTCAAGAAGACATGGAGAAAGCAGGACCTGGGTTGAACAAATAGCCTAATGAATTTGAGAAAAAGGAACCGGTTAAAGTGGTTTTCTTGGTTGTAACACAGGGCAGGGGAAAAGGGATAGGTTTGCCAAAAATAGCAAAACTCAAAAATAAAACTTATGAAAGAGCACTTTTAGTTAAACTCAAACTCAGAAGAAGAGCCAAAGAATTATAACTTGCCATACAAACACAAGATAAAGAATGCATTATAAAATAGGTGCCTTCAAAGGAAAAAGAAATTCAAGTTTTGAGATGATACCCAAAATGAGCAGCTCATGAAACCTTTCTAAGGCTTCCGAGTAATCCCAGGTACAGGCCCCAGCATGTCCTGAGAGCACCAAAGGAAATGGTCCCAAACTTTGATGCTTGCAGATACATATCTGATAAACCAACACCCAAGCCAATCAAAGATGTGCCTGTCCAGCACAAGGACCTAGACTTCCAGTTTCAGGTCCATCTCAAAGAACCACATGGGGGCTCAGGAAAGGGAAGGACAAAACCATCCTTAGCCTAGACAGTATGGGCAGTAATCTCCAGAGATTTGATTCTTGTTTCCTTTTGGAGGCATTTTCATGTAGCCCAGGCCTAGTGCTATTTGGCCAAGAATGGCCTTGAATTTCTGGTACTCCTGTCTCCACCTCCTGAGTGCTAGGGATTAGGGGGTGTGCCTCACCACACTTGGTTGTAGGCAGTCCTGGGGCCTGAACCCAGGGCTTCATGGAAAGCACTTTACCAACTGAGCTTCATCCTCAGTCCTCCACAAAAAGACTTGGAGACAGAAACAGCAAAAGATATGTAGCCAACGCTTTCTCTTTAATTTTTAAAAATTTAAAAAAAATTTTTTTTTTTTTTTTTTCTTTTTGAGAAAGGGGCTCCCTGTAGCCCCAGCTGGCCTGGAATTCACTATGTAGCCCAGCCTGGCCTCGAACTCACAGAGATCCCCCTGCCTCTGTCTCCCAAGTGCTGGGATTAAAGGCATGTCCCACCATTCCCAACTAAAAATTATTTTAATTTTTGTTTCGTCTTTTTTTTTTTTTTTCTTTTTGAGAAAGGGGCTCCCTGTAGCCCCAGCTGGCCTGGAATTCACTATGTAGCCCAGCCTGGCCTCGAACTCACAGAGATCCACCTGCCTCTGTCTCCCAAGTGCTGGGATTAAAGGCATGTCCCACCATTCCCAACTAAAAATTATTTTAATTGTATGTGTATGAATGCACCCATATGATACAGTGCCCATGTGATACAGAAGTCAGAAAAGGGCCTTGGATCTCCTGGAACTGGAGTTACAGGTTGTTGTTAGTCACCACATGGGTCCTGGGTACCGAACCTGCGTCCTCTGTAAGAACAGCCAGTGCTCTTAACCACTGAGCCAACTCTCTAGTCTCCTGCTTTCTTGATAGAGCTTCAGATTATGGGTAATATCTACAGGAAAAGAAAAATTACAATACAGACAGACTGGAAACTAGACATTTTTTTTTCTAGTTCTTTGTCTAGGCCTTCAATTTTTGTTGCTGTTTTGAGACAGGATTTCACATAGCCCCAAGCTGGCCCTGAACCTGTGATCCTCTTGCCACTACCTCTCAAGTGTTTAGATTACAGGAACATGCCATCAAGCCTGGCTTAGGCCTTCAATATTCAAACAAAATACAATATTGAATGCTGTAAGCTTCTTGGAGTGGATATAAGCTACTGCTTCCTACTTACTGCTACACAGAAAGGCTCTGGGTAACCATGGCAAGTCAACAGAAGGTCCTGTACTGCTTGCTCTAGGAACCAAAATAGCTCTGAGGCAACAGGATAAAACTCAAAGACCTTGGATGAGCCAGAAGCCAAGAGAGGAGTTAAAAAAGGTTTTAGTTCTAAAGATGTCAAGACTGGAAAGAACAATGATTTGAGGTGGGTCATTTCTGCCTGAACCTAAAGACAAAAGCAGACTCACTGGAAAGCCAAACTGCTTGTGACAAGGAGGAAGGGAACTGCTGCAAAGGAAGTCATCAAGCTTCTCTTGTCAGAGAACTAACTGAACCCAAGGCGACACTGAGAAGTAGTTACAGGAACTGAGAAGCAGGTCTCCAAACTGGACTCCAAATCTTTAAGAACTTCTAATTATACAAACTGCTATGTTGCCCCATATTATGAATGATGTATAATTACTGTGGATAACGTAGTAATTACACTTAGGACCTAAGAAAAGGGTAAGGAAGAAGAAAAAGACATTATTCCCAAAGCTCTAGGCACAAGAAAAAACAAAGTCCCTGGGTGGTACCAATGTAGGAAAGCTGCTAATCATCAGCAAACACTGTGCAATCGTGGGCGGTTATTCCCATTCCTTAAAGAAATAATTTCTGAATTATTCAAAGAGAGAAACTTATAAGCTGAAATTAATTCACTGGGAAGAAAGACTACAAGTAAGTCCTTATAGTTTATTCTGTGTATCTAAATAGCACATGACTAAAGCTTCCTAAAAGTTCTATGGTACTTGAGCCAGAAAGCCATCCTGGAAACTAATGTTCTTCCATTCCTGTTAGGTAGAAAGACTCATGACCTGTATCGCAACACATACCTGGCACCAAGGCAAGAGACTCCCAACAGACAATTTCCTGGGGAGGACATGGAATATATTTTGAAGGCTCTATCTCAAGTCAGTCATTAGGTAATTAGAATAATTCAAACATCTTATTTTAACAAATTCAATGCTCCTATAGAAACAGAACTTTTAGAGTGACCAGTGTTAGCTGCTAATATCAATCATGACTATAACCACAGAATAGTACTTTCCTTCCCACCTATCTCTACCAAACAAAACAAACACCATCACACACTATAAAGAATATCCTATAAGTTGCTTGGCTTCAGTAAGGCTGATCATAGCAAGCCCAAAGAACACCAATGAGGAGGAGATGGTGGGAGAAGGTGTTTCCAGGGGAAAGGACAAGAGGGTGTTCTAAAAATATAAGACTTAACTAAGCACATGATAATCTAAGCCAAAGGGGAGTGTTGAGGTTGTAACACACACTAGGGATAGGTGCAATACCACAGTAGATGGAAGTCTTTAAAGAATCCTTCCTGAAACTCTTGTGCTAACTCCCCACCTGGGATTAACACACACAGCAGGATAATCTTATAATCACAGGACACATACAACCACAGACAGAGACAGACAGACACACACTGCCACACCCTTAACCCAAGAAAGTCCTAAGTCCTTAACTAGGGTTACAGCACAATACTCCTGCTGCTTTCTGTACTGTTTCCCTTGTAGACTAATAAACACCCACACTCTCTCCCAATGGGAACTGAAGGACTGCAAATGCACTCTCAAGACCAATACAACAATGAGACACACTAGCTGCTCCATTTTCATTCCACTGCTTTGAAATCTTGGAACCATGGGTGTGTGATACCCAAAGAAAAGGCAGGTCCTCGCTGTGACGTCCTGAAAGAAGTCTCTGCCCTTCTAGGTGCTCCTTGAGTAAAAGCCCGGCTCATGGGTCCTCTGAAGCCATGGCAGGGAGAGATGTGCTAGGTGGCTACATGGGCAGGAGAAGAAATAGAAACAAATTCTCGGAGGATGTTTTTGGCCATTTCAATGTTGTTGTGGGCAATGACCAAAGCTTTCTGAATGTCCTGGTAGGAGTAGCCCTGACTCATGAGGCTCTCAATCTCACTGGAGAGCTGTGGTGAGGGAGCAGTGGTGGTAGGAGCAGCAGTGGCACCGCCACCTTGCTGACAGCTACTTGCTTTTCGTTCAGAGTTGATTCTCCGAGGGAATGGTTTGGGAGGTCGCTCAGGAACTTGAGAACCCTCACTGAAGTCTAGAAGAAATAGGAAAAGGAAATATTTGCAAGTCTGGGGAAATCCTTATTTAGTGGCAACAGTAACAATAAGCTAATAATATGGTCTTCTGTTACAAGGCTGGCCTTGATCTCAGCTATCCTAAGTCTCCTGAGTGCTGAGATTATAGTTGTGAGCCACCATGCCTGGTTGGGTTTTATTTATTTGCAGTGCTAGGACTGAACCCAGGGTCTCACACATGCCAGGTCAGTGTTCTACTGCTGAGCTAAATCACCAGCCTAAAATCTGGGTTTTAGAGTTTTGTGATTTAGACTCTTACCCCAGAGGGAAAGACCTTCTAAATATACCATGCACCTGTACTGTTAACAGTAACTGTTGTTACGAGAAGCATAAAATACCTATACTGTCTGTTAAACTTAGCAACAAGTTCACACACAAAATTTCTCTTTCTACAAATACAGAGACAAAACAGTCTAAACTGCAGTGAAGAAACAGTAAGCCAGGTTGGGTGGGGATCCCCACCTATATGGGCAACTGAATACTATATCTTTTCTACCAAATGTCCTGAAAGCTGTCTTCAATTTCCAAAGTGACAGAAATTCTGGCTCTTACCCCACCAGGACACAGGTGCAAAAACAGCCCTGGATATCAGGGGACAATGCTGGGGCAGCTCAGGCCCCACAGCAGAACACTCCTCAGTGGGACAAGGCATTAGAAGAGCTAAAAAGTAGGGGTTGCGGATTTAACTCAGTGATAGAGCGCTTGCCTAGCAAGCACAAGGCCCTGGGTTCGGTCCTTGGCTCAAAAAAAAAAAAAAAAGATGAGCTAAGTCTTGCTTTCCCCCTCTATAGTAGGAGGTGTGCTTTATGGACTACCTGCAGGGTTTAGCTTCCTAATATAGGCCCTAGACCAGATTTCCTACATTTAGACATAGTATACAATTCACTACTTCCACCAAATAATTTACTGCCACCAGAGGTGGTCATGAGTTTCAGTTATAACTCAGGAGCTCAACAGAAATTCAAGATAAGCCAAGGCAGCCTGGAGACTCACTTGTGGTAGGGTCACCATCCAGAGACAACCAGCCAAAGGAAGAACTGGCATTAGAGATGTCGGACAGAGTTCGGCGAGCCAGCACAACCGGCACAGGAGGCTTAGGGACATCATAGCCATCATCCTCATTTTCGGATTCCTCAGGACCAGTGCTGGTGTTAGCTGTAACCAAATTTCCTTCTCCTGGAGAAAAGTTGGTAAAGCTATCATCCTCTCCTGACATACATCATCTTCTAACACACATTAGTCCAGAGGCATTCGTTCATTCTTGCAGGCATACAATTATTCATTTAATTTGATAGTTGAGTAATTGTCTACTGTGGGCCAAATACCATGTGGGGCTCCCATAGATAGAGAGGAAATAAAATCTGCACAAGCTCTCTTGTTGAACATGTCAACAGTTACTCTTGCTAAGGTTAATAACTACTGATGCCAGAGACTCAAGTGCTGTTTTATAGCATTCTATCTGTATTTCACCTCAGAAAATCAGCCAAAGGGCCCTATGTGTGCAGGCTTCTTGAACTTTCAACTTGGTAAACTAGTTAACATGGGAATTGAGTATTCACCACCCACACACAAAAGAATTTCATCAATGCAATGGGGCAAAAAAGAGAGCTGCCAGCACAGCAGGTCCAGGCCATAAAACATAAAAACAGCTCCAGGCCTTCAGAAGAGGAAAAAGCAGAGTTAGGAACTAGCTGTCTGAAAAGCAAATAGAGAAGTGGAGCAGTTCTGTCCATGAATCAAAGGTACTTTGCCCAAGAATACTGAAAATAATTTTCTTCTTATCTCAAGTTATCTCAGCCAAATATTGGAGAACTTCTCTTCTTATTCTTGAGATACAGTCTCAGCTATGTAGCCCAGGCTAGCCTCAAACTTGCAGCCCTGTCCTAACCACCCAAGTGTTGACCGTATAGACATGTATTCCCACATGAGGCACATCAATTGCTAAGCAGCAGATAGGCTACTCACCAAAGGTAATGGTCTCTGTGACAGATGTTGCCTGGGACTGAATATTATACATTGCTTCATATGTGTAGCTATCAATCTGTTGGTCACAATCACATGGTCTGAAACAGAAAGCAAGAGCAATAATGGTCTTCACAAACAAAACTGGTTTTTGCCAACTTATAGGCTAACCTGTTGATAACTGTCCCAGACCCCAATTCTTTCAAAACAACACATTCTCCTTGCATCAATCTCACTAATAAATGTTGTAGAGTGACTCCTGTAAAGTTAAGGAAGCATGTTTTTTGGAGATCACTGCACAACTGAGGAAACATAAGTGACTGGGTAACAGTATGTGCAAGTGATAAGCCACACAGGTAAGTCCCATTAAGTGAATTATCCACATAATGATATTTGGCCCCAAAAGGGGTTGCTGTGAATGTACCGTGAACTCTGAGATGTCTCCAAAGGCCGTTTTGAGTCTGGCTTTTGAACCCCAAGAGGCCGAGAGGAAGGAGTCATATATTCTGTGTCCTCTTCACTTTCACCCTGCTCCCCAGGTAGCAGTTTTGGCACAGGAAGAGGCCTGGAAGAATGTAAAACAGAAAAAGAAATTAAACTGGAAAACTTAAGTACGAAGTATGTAGGTTCAAAATGGATACAACTCAAATCTGACAAAGCAAAAGACATGGAAGCTAGTGAACTAGTCTGCCAGCCACCGCAAGCATTTAGGAAAAAGCATGCCAACAAGTTCTACTTTCAGTTGACCAGAGTGTGGCTACAGTGCTTGGGATGTATTAAGCTGGCGTAAGGAGCAGGTTCCAGTTAGTCTCAATCTACAAATAAGTTTTATTACCGTGTTCCCGTTCTAGAGAATATTTCTTTTCTTTTACTAGGCATAAAACAAGAAATAGCAAGTGGTTTTCTTTCCATCTACTAGAAATGTATACAAATTTAATGATTAAAATCTACCTATGGCATCAAAGAGCACACAGCTTGCCAAAAGCTTTCTCCTGTACTACTCTAGAGGAAAACTGTTTTTTCTCTTCAACATTTCCTACCAGAAAAATGGTTGCTAGCATCAATTCTGAGATTAGATCCTGATCTTCCGACTCTTATTTCACAAACTTTTTGGCAGTTCAGGGATCAAACATGGGACCTTCCAACTGAATTATATCCCTGGGCCCCTACTTCAGAGATCTTGCTGCTGCAACGTATATTGTGTAATTCTCATTCAGCTTTCTGAAATAAAACTTCTCCTGCTACCCTAGCCTACAAAAGGAGACAAGGCAAAATACCAACTGTGTTAAGAAATATGACCCCACCCAATGCCAATGCTTCTTGGTGTAAATTTTAAGTGTGTCTCCTCCTTTCCCTTTTTTTCATATTCTGAACATTTTACAAAGAGCACTTGCATTTATTTGTCTCTATGTATTTGGTTTTTTTTATTTTTATTTATTTTTTAAATTTTTTATGTATGAGCATATTGCCTGCATGTATGTAAGTTAAGCACACCCATGGCATGCAATGCCCACAGAGGTCAGGAGAGGGTGTCAGAGTCCCCTAGAACTGGAGTTACGGTTTTAACCTGTTATGTGGGTACTGGGAATTGAACCCAGGTCCTCAGTCAGTGCTCTTAATCACTGAGTCATCTCTCCAGCCCTTTCTGTATTTAATGTTTTCCTGATTATAAAAGCAACGCATATTTAAAAACTTAACATACAAAAACCTAACAGAGCACAACAGTCCACTAGAGGTTTCATTTAGAAACAGGGTCTCCCTGTAGCCCCAGCTGGACTGGAATTCACTATGTAGACTAGGCTGGCCTTGAACTAAGAGATCTGCCTGCCTCTGCCTCCCAAGTGCTGGGACTACAGGCATGTGCCACCACGCCTGGCTGAATTTTACTTTTAAATTATGTGTGTGCTTGTGCCCAAGCATTTGAGAGGAGAGGGTGGTGGGAGGTTGTGCATTACATACGTGCCCATGGATGCCAGAAGAGGGTACTGGGCATTGCATCCCCTGGAGCTAGAGTCACAGGCAGTTGTGAGTCACCTGATGTTGGGGCTGGGAACTGATCATAGGTCCTCTGAAGAGCAGCAAGCACTCTAAACTGCTGAACCATTTCTTTAGCCCCTCACTTGAGTCTTTTTTAAGTCTGCATGTTACTATGTGGGGAAGGGGCAGAATTTTGAGACAGAGTTTCATGTAGCCCAGGCTGGCCCTAAACTATGTAGCAGAACCCAGCATTAAACTTCTGATCCTCCTACCTCTACCTTCCAAGTGCGAGATAGTAGGTGTAAGCCATCATGCCTGTCATGTTATTTTTATTACTGAAAAATTACACATATGTATGCTTTCTTAAAATTCATCAAATATCTACCATACGGTTGTGTAATCCTTGGAAGTCATGAGGTAGAAGTATACTAGTGCCTAAGACCTGTTCTGAAATATGCTAGGTAAGGGTGACAGTTGAAGTCAGAGAGTTTAAACAAAACAAATACAATAAAACAATAATTCAGTGGTAGCAAAGTTTTCATGGGGGGTAGTCCAACCTTTTTTTTCGTCTTTTTGAGACAGGGTCTCTTTGTAGCTCCAGCTATCCTGGAACTCACTATGTAGACCAGGCTGGTCTCGAACTCACAATCTCGAACTCACAAAGATCTGCCTGCCTCTGCCTCCCAAGTGCTAGGATTAAAGGCATGCGCCACCACACCCAGCCATTATTCCAACCTTTTTTTTTTTTTTTTTTGGTCTTTTTGAGACAGGGTCTCCCTGTAGCTTCAGCTGTCCTGGAACTCACTATGTAGACCAGGCTGGCCTTGAACTCACAGAGATTCGCCTGTCTCTGCCTTATTCCAACCATTTTAAGAGGATATAATCAATGAAGGTGCAGGGAGTACACGGATACCTTCCTATATACAGCTACAGAAATAAGATAGTTTAAATCTTATGGGGTGTCATTCAACAAAACATTTCAACAAATGTACATACTCTTAGTTTTAGAAATCTTATTTAAGAACTTTCCCTAGGCCCAGGTGTGGCAGCATACACCTTTAATCCCAGCACTCAGGAGGCAGAGGCAGGAGGATTGTTGTGAAATAGAGGCCAGCCTGGTCTTCATAGTGAGTTCCATGCCATCTGGGGCTATAGGGAGACCCTGTGTCCAAAAAAAAAGGGAGGGAGGGAGGGAAGGAAAGAAGGAAAAGGGAGGGAGGGAGGGTGGGTGGAAGATCGCATAGAGACAGAGGACTTGGCTAGCATGCATGAGGCCTGGGTTCAATAACTACTGAAGTGGGATGGGGAGGAAGGGAGTGCAAAAAACGAAGATGAAGAGGGTGGAAAAGGGAGGGGAGAGAAAGAGAGATCATTAAAAAAAAAATCTTTTTTTGATTTATTTATTTTTATTTTATGTGTATGAGTACACTGCCTACATGTATGTAAGTGCACCCGTGTCATACAATGCCCACAGAACAGAAGAAGGCATCAGATCCCCTGAAACTGGAGTTACGGACAGTTGTTAGCCACCATGTGGATGCTGGGATTCAAACCTGGGTCTTCTGCAAGAGCAGCCAGTGCTCTTAACAGAGCCATCTCTCCAGCTCCATCCAAAAAAAAGAAAAAGAAAAATTAAGACTGCAGTATAGCTCAACAATAGAGCACTTGTCCAGCATACTGAAGGCTTTGGGTTTAATCCCTAGGAGTATAAAACAGAAACAAAGACAGACACAGAAAGAAAAACAAAGATGGCCCTGGAACTCAGAGTAAGCTCCATCCTTAGGGGTGCTCAACTTGAGATCCCAAGTTGTTCTCTGTGGACCAGGGAAAAAGACTGCACGTTTGAGGATGGGAGGCCAAAAATCATAGGTAAAGAACAGTGATCGAAGTAGACCTAAATCTGCCTGGTATAATAAAAATATTGTAAGCCTCCCCCACCCCACCCCAAAAAAAGCAAGAAAGGTAAAAGCAAAAGTAAAAACAAAAGGCAATAAGAAAAGAGAGCTGGGTGTGATGCACACCTTTAATCACAGCACCCCAAGGCTGGATCTCCATGAGTTTGAGGCCAGCCTGGTTTACACAGCAAGTTCCAAGCTAGCCAAGGCTGCATAGTGAAACCCGGGGGTGGGGTGGGAGTAGAGAGAACAGGATACCAAGAGAAAAATTGGAAAAATGTGGAAGCAAGTAGGTCCAATTATTCCAATTAAGGCAAAGAATACCAGGCAGGAAATAAGCCAACATGTATACACTGCTTATGAGAGATACACCTTAAATATAAGGAGAGAAAAGTTGGAGTAAAAAAGTGGAGAAAGGTCATGCAAAAATAACTATATTTTACAGCCGGGTATGGCAGCGCACATCTTTAATCCCAGCAATCAGGAGGTGGAGGCTGGTGGATCTCTGTGAGTTCAAGGCCAACTTGGGCTGTAGAATGATAAAAATAAGTAAATAAATAAATAACACCTAAATTTTAATATAAGGCAAAACAGACACAAAGCAGGTAAGTAGTTAAAACTACAGAGGAAAGCATGACACTTCATCACTATGTTTACCATTTTAGTTATGGTAAAATGTAAATTTTTAGTATCCTAAATATACATAAATAAAAGTGGACAGAATTAAAAGGCAAAAGATAAATTCACAATTATTTTTTTAAGTGCTAGGGATCTACCACTGAACTACACACCCAAGGGGAGCATTTAGCAGTTCTGTTACCTGTTGTAACAGGTAGATTTATTTTTTTTAGTCTGAGAGAAGATTGAAACACAATACACTTGTCCCAAGTGTGTGTGTATATGTATGTGTGTGACATCCAACAACAGTAGTATAAACATTCTCATGAAATAAAGGTGTTAATAGGTATTACTAGATTTGACCATGAACCAGTCAATGAAGAATATGGTCTCTATGCAAAATGAATCCAGAAAGCAGTTAAGAGAAAAGTAAGTAGCAAATCTTTGAATGTTTAAAAAAATCAGGCAACACATAAACAATTCATGAATCAATGAAGAAATTATCCATGGAAGAAGCATGTATTTTGAACTGAATGGTAACATAAATATGATGTGTCAAACTGTAGCCAAACATGTTATGAGCTGGAATGAGCACTTGCCCTCTACCCCAAATCCAGATTTTAAAGTCCTAACCTCCAGCTGTGCTGCCTTGGAGATGAAACTACTAAGGAGATATTGAGGTTGGGTAAGTCCGTAAGGATGGTCCTGATCTAACAGGATCAGAGGTTTAACAGGAAAAGACCATGGAGAACTTGTTCTCAGGCTCCCACATACATAATCCTCATTCTCTTGCATACTCACCCTCTTCTGCCTCTCCCTCCCTTCCACTCTCTCTGCACCTAATGCACCAAGGAGGAACAGAGTCAAACAAGGTGGCAGCCATTTGTATTCCAGGAAGAAGCCCTCACCAGAAATAGACCACACAGGCACCTGATCCCAGACTTCCAGACTCCAGAACTGTGGAAATAAATCTCTCCTGTTAAACAACCTACTCTGGGGCGGGAGAGATGGCTTAGCGGTTAAGAACACCAGTTGTTCCTGCAGAAGACCAGGGTTTGAATCCCAGCACCCACATGGCAGCTAACAACTGTCCGTAACCCCAGTCCCAGGGGATCTGACAGCCTCTTCTGACCTCTGAGGGCATTGCACGACACGGGTGCACTTACCTACACACAGGCAATACACGAATACACATAAAATAAAAATTAAAAAACAAACAAACAAAAACAAAAACAACCTACTCTGTGTTGTTTTACTACTGCAGTCCAAGTAGTCCAACTTGACCTTCATCTCACGATACTAGAAAAGTGTCAAATTAAGCCTAAAGAAAGTTGGAAGAATAAAAGACAGGAAGCAACTAAACAGAAAGCTGATGCCCAGTAAGAATTAAAAAAAGAAATAAGGGGTTGGGGATTTAGCTCAGTGGTACAGTGCTTGCCTAGTAAGCACAAGGCCCTGGGTTTGGTCCTCACCTCTGGAAAAAAATTTAAAAATTAAAAATAAATAAATAAGTAAAAGGGCTGGAGAGATGGCTCAGCAGTTTAAGAACGCTGACTGTTCTTGCAGAAGACCCAGGTTCGAATCCCAGCACCCACATGGCAGCTAACAACTGTCCATAACTCCAGTTCCAGGAGATCTAACAGCCTCTTCTGTCCTCCAAGGGCATTGCAAGACATGGGTGCACTTATCTACATGCAGACATAACACTCATACACATAAAATAAAAATAATAAGGTAAAAGGCATGTACCAGTCACACCTGAATTTGAGGTCAGCAGAATCTACCTAGTGAGGCCGTGTCGAAGTAAAAAAAGAAAGAGGATGCACCAAATGAAACATAGCTGGAGTATACTTACCTGGCAGCCAGGGAGTAAATGGCATTGGCAGATGAGGAAGGCTTGATTTTCGGGTGCTCACTCTCTGGACCTGCTCCTGGGCTGCTATTCATATTCTGGAAAGCAAGAAAAGTGTTTCAAAGAATCTCTTTACTAACCACAGCTAAATATGTCCTCTTATTGAACCAACTGAAAATCACAGAAGTATTAATAGACATAGACCTCATCATCAGTGCCAAACCCAAGAGTTATCTCATCTGACAAAAGATCACTGCTTAGGAATTCTGAAGGAATTAAAATGGAAGAGTCAGAGAGCAGAAAGCTAGGAAATACTTTTAATTCTAAAAGAACTGAAATAAATTTCCTGTCTATACAAACTCCATTTCTAGATTAAATAAATCTACACCTAAACTCAAAATGGTCATTCTCCACTGAAGTCACCTCACTAGATTTCCTGCCACCAGGTGCCACTCAATTGTTACCACCTCTCTTTCTGTGAAACCAAGAAAGTCACTTCAGTGTCATGAGAACACAACTGTATACTTCCCATTCCAACTCCACCTTAGATCTCCAACTTCCTCCTCAATTCTCTCACCAATTCATCTCTAATTTGATGTCTGCTACTAGCCAGGCTGGAACCATCAGTTTGTGTGTATGAGTTCATGTCCTCTTCACCTACTGACAGCTTCCAAGCCTTAGTGAACTCCTTCTGTGTTCTCTAAAGGCTCTACGTATCTGACTGCTCCCTTCTGTTTAGACAAGGACTCCCCACACTTGCTTGGTTGGCACCAGATATACTATACACCTTATGTCATTTTAT